TCAATCGGCCGAGGGGCAATCAAGACTCTAAGAAGAGGTCTGCCCAAGAAATTAGTCCGATCGATCATCAATCAGCTAAGAAAAGAAGAGGGAATGAGAAACCTCCACAAGCAAAGGATGGTACGCAAATGGCAGCACCAAAACAACCGAGAAAAATAATATCGGGCAGCAGTTACGCTAATGTAGCCAAGAGCTTAAGAATAGCAATTCTTCCGAAATCTTACCCGGAATCTACTCTTTCTAGGGAGGAGCAAGGTAAAATCGAGGAACTTCTCATTGAGGAGATGTATAAAGGATGGGATGCCAAGCTACGATTTAGCGGGATACACTTTCGCCCAGGACTTATACTGGTTGACTGCGTAGACGAGGATGCGGCTAATTTTATCCATGGAACGGCACCTAAGCTGAACGGATGGGAAGGCGCTGAACTCACCACGTGTGTCGGGGACAAGATACCGAAATTACACATGTTGACAGTCTACCTCCCAAGAGCTAAAGGGGTCGACACGGAAAAGCTGCTAAAACTGCTCATAACTCAAAATGAGGGTCTACATACTCAGATGTGGAGAGTTTTTAGCAGCAAGGATCTGAAAAATGGCAAACTCCTAACAATCGGGATTGACAACCGGTCTCAGGAAGCCATAACAAACAACGGCTGTAGGATCTTCTACAGATTTAGTTCCGTCCCAATTCACCTGCATAAAGGACGAGACAACAAGGAAAGAAGTAACTCAGCTGGGGAAAATACACCAGCTGTAGGAACGATACCTGCAACTGTTGCGGAACTAGTGGAGGAGGAGGCGACCAGGAGCGAGAAGATTGAAGATATCAGCGTGCTACCTCACGAGAGTGAGGACATTGAGAATCTAGATCTCTCTCTACTGAACTTGGCGTCCGAGGAAGACTCCGAAAGAATCTTTCTGTCAGACATCGACGACGGTCTGATAGAAGAAACGAAGGAGGAATAACCACCTGATGACCAGCACTAGAATCGCCCAAATAAATATCCACCATGCAAAAGCTGCGTCGGCAGTTATTGCAAGGGCTACGCTCAAATCGAACCTGAGCATAGTGCTGGTCCAAGAACCCTGGATTTACAGGGGTCGAATCTGTGGTTTGACTGCAAAGAATATGCAGACAATTTGGGATGTAAGATGTGATAAACCAAGAACCTGCATTTTATTGAATATTAATATCAACTTTATCTGTCTTTCAGAATTTCTCTCCAGGGACCTCGTTGCCATACAGATTCCGGCCAACATCAACGGAGTTCTACGGAACGTAGTCGTAGCTACAGGTTATCTACCAGGAGACGACACTCAGGTACCATCTGCAGAGGTCGATAAACTGGTAAACTACTGCGAGAGAATGAAATTGCCTCTTATACTCGGTTGCGACTCCAACGCACACAACGAAGTTTGGGGAAGCACTAACACCAATATAAGAGGTGAGTACCTTTTAGAATTTATAACTAGTAAAAAATTAGAAATATGTAATGTAGGTAATACACCAACATTTGTAACTATCTCACGCAAAGAGGTCCTAGATATTACTATAGGAAATTCTCGAGGTTGTGAGCTTGTGAAAAACTGGAGAGTATCCAGTGAACCATCTATGTCTGATCATAGAATTCTAAGGTTCGACATTGAAGGTTCACCAATTAACAAAAAAATTTTAAGGAACCCAAGAAAAACAAATTGGGAGAACTACACGGAAAATCTGAAAGACAATCTTGTCCAATTAGGGCTAGATGAAATCATTCAGAATGAAATTCAATTAGAAAATTACCTAGAAAACCTTAATGGGGCCATACTAAATGCATATGAGGATAGCTGTCCATTAAGCCTGATTAACTCCACCAAGGATGTGCCTTGGTGGAACAATGACCTTAAAAACCTAAGAAACACTGTTAGAGGACTTTTTAACTACTCAAAGCGAACAGGAGACTGGTCAGAATATAGGAAAAAACTTACTTTGTACAATAGAGAAATTAGGGCCTCTAAACGCAGAAGCTTTCAAAAATTCTGCGAAAGCATAGAAAGCACTACGGAGGTATCAAGACTCTACAAGGTACTTGCAAAAAGCAGCAGCCTCACCTCCACAAATCTCAAGCGAGAAGATGGAAGTTTCACCGAAGGTGAAGAAGAGAAGATACAACTGCTTCTGGACGTACACTTCCCAGGATCCTCTCCAACTCTAGGGACGGAATCAGAACACACTGAACCCCCTAAAACAGTAAAGAAGGATGATTGGAAATTTGCCAAAAATATAATCACAATGCCTAAAATCAGGTGGGCGGTAAATTCGCTCAAGCCACTGAAATCTCCAGGTATTGATGGTGTCTTTCCGGCATTACTTCAAAAAGGAATTGAACAGCTACTAGGTCCAATAACTAGAATAGCCAGAGTCAGTATTGCATTGGGATACATACCAAACATGTGGAGAAGGGCAAAAGTGGTCTTTACTCCGAAGGCGGGCAAAAGAGATCCTACTCACCCGAAATCCTTCAGACCAATCTGCCTCACATCCTTCCTACTTAAAGTAGTAGAAAAAGTTGTGGATAACTATATCAGGAATACTATACTGAAAGTAACTCCACTATACAGTCGCCAACATGCCTATAGGGCAGGGCAGTCGACAGAAACAGCCCTGCATCAACTAAGTAACACGATTCAGGACAGCATAGATAAGAAAGAGATAGCAATTTGCGCTTTCCTAGACATTGAAGGAGCCTTTGATAACACTTCACATGAGGTTATAAACTCAACTATTTCTAAAAGAGGAATCAATGGCACACTCTCACGCTGGATGAGCAATATGCTTCGCACCAGGAGAGTAGAAATTCCGACCAGCAATGGTAATATTTTTGCAAATACTTCGCGAGGGTGCCCACAAGGTGGAGTATTATCACCCCTTATGTGGAGTATGGTAGTGGATGAACTATTGGTAAAACTGGACAGGAATGGCTTCCAAATCCAGGGGTACGCCGATGATGTGGTAATTATCTGCAGAGGAAAATATGAGAGTACTCTGTGCGAAAGAATCCAGTTAGGCTTAAAACTAACTAAAGAATGGTGCAATTCGGTTGGGCTGAAAATAAATCCAGCAAAAACAACCATTGTGCTATTCACTAAGAAATACAAAATAAAAAACCTTAAACCCATCCGCTTAGATGGGTTTGAAATAAAACTACAAAAGGAGGTAAAATTTTTGGGTATAATTTTAGACCAAAAATTAACATGGAAATCGCATATCCAAGAAGTGACAAAAAAGGCAACCAAAGCCTTTATGACATGTAGATCCATCGCAGGTAAGAATTGGGGATGTACACCAAAGTCACTGCGATGGATATACACAGCAGTAATCAGACCAATGATCACCTACGGATCAATAGTCTGGCAGAACTGCACAAATCAACAAAGCGTTATCAACACACTCAACAAGGTACAACGACTTGCATGTGTAAGCATAACAGGAGCAATGAGAACATGTCCCACGTCATCAATTGAAGTACTCCTGGAACTTACTCCTCTTCATATCTATGTGCAATCACAGGCGAAGAGGGCTGCTCTAAGAGTAAATACAAATAAGGTGACTGGTCTTGAAACCAATAGCAAAAAACTTGATACTTTGGCTGCACAAATCCCAGAAATTGAAATGCCAATGGACAGGATGATTGTAAAGCATAACTTTACAAAAAACTTCAAAACTGAACTTGGCAACAAAAAGAACTGGGGAGGTTTGTCTAACATCCCAAAAATAAAAGAAACCATGATAACATGGTATACAGACGGCTCTCTCACCAATGAGGGAGCTGGAGCTGGTGTTTATGGACCAGGCAAAAAATACTGGGAAGCATTAGGAAACAATACAACCATCTTTCAAGCGGAAATATACGCGATAGATAGATGCGCCAGTTTCAATATTGAACGTAACTACCGGAACCGTAAAATTGCAATACTGACTGACAGCCAGGCAGCTATAATGGCACTCATATCTTACCAGGTAACATCCAAACTGGTATGGGAATGCATTGACAAGCTGAACACACTCGGTGGGATCAATCAGGTGCACCTTTTATGGATTCCGGGACATACTGGTATCCAAGGTAATGAAATAGCAGACAAACTTGCAAGAAGAGGCGCGGCATCAAGAATGATAGGCCCAGAACCATTCTGTGGTCTAGGCAAAGGAGCTATATCCATTATCATGAATGACGCAGAGAAAAAAGAGAGAGAACTCTATTGGTTAATGCTACCAAGACTCTCACAATCTAAAATGCTTTTAGGGACTTACAACCTAAAACGCTTTAAAGATTGCATAGTGCAATCAAAGACTAACATAAGAATTATTACGGGTTTACTGACCGGTCACTGCAGATTGAATAATCACCTATCGAAGTTAGGAATTCAATCCAACTCAGACTGCAGATACTGCAGGGAAGAGAGAGAAACGGCATACCATGTGCTTGGGGAGTGCCCGGCACTGATGCATAAACGAAAGAAACACCTAGGAGGGTATTTCATGGATCATAAGGATTCAAGACTGGAGAAGATAGGATCCATACTGTCTTTCATTAAAGAAATCGGACTTGGAGAAATACTCTAACCCGACAAAGGGGCACAATAGATCTTTTAGGTCGCAGTGCACGATCCCTTACTCAATAATAATAATAATAATTTTTATTACTACCTTATACTAATATTTTATTTTATGTGTAACTTAACTAATAATAAACAAATTATATTTAACTAAAAATACCTTAATTCTATTGTTGTTTTTTTTTTTTTTGTTTATTTTATTTTCTTGTTGTTTGTTTGTGACGAGATTCTAAAGCTCGTCACAAATTACAACTTTATATATACATATATATATATATATATATATATGTATAATTATATGTAATTGTAATTATATATATATTTTTTTTATATATATATATAATTATATGTAATTGTAATTATATATATATTTTTTTTTTGTTAAAATATTGTAGAAAATTATATGAACATAGTATTTACAAAAAATACGATATAAAATCAATTAAATAAATTAAATAAATCAAAAGTAAATTTAACATTTTCGGTTAATCAGATATTTTATAAAAATTATTGTATCTTCGTTATCTTAAATTATTAAATTTTCAAAGTAATGTGTAATGTATAAAATTCTTAAAGTGCATGTCCATGTTAGCATTTCCTTTAGATAGCAAAATAGCAAAATAAGATAGCAAAATAAATATGGTGATAATATTAATATTATTTTCTCAAATGGCAATAAAATTATATCAATTACACAAAAACTCACTTAAGATAAAATACAGAAGAGCAACATCAGTTGCACAAAATTTAGGCAGTGTATAATATTTGTTTACACTTCCACAACATCCTATTTTACCGTGATACCGTATTATTTAGAACCCATGGGCTAAAACCATCCAGAACCTTTAACAAAGCTTACGATGCTACATAGAGGGAGTTCTCGAAGTTCGTCAAGATCCTCAAAAAAGAAAGCCCCCAAAAATTTAAGGCGACGCCGTGCATGTGCCGGACACGAAGAAAGCAGGTGAGAGGCACTTTCGTCATCCTCACCACAACTGCGGCAAAAATGGTTGAACGGTAGATTCAGTCTCCTAGCATGATTACCTAGAATACAATGACCTGTTAGTAAACCTACTACAAGACTGATATCTCTACGGGATAACTCTAAGAGAGATTTCGATTTTCTATTGTTGGTCTGTGGCCACATTGCATACAGATGCCTACATATCGCAGAGTCTTCCCATCTTTTGTTAAAAAGTTCGGCACAGGAAGAACTCAAAATCAATTTGCATGAAGTCAACGATATGCCCAGATTGTTTAGGTGTTCCGAGTGGTTCCCTGAAGCACCACGTCTGGCTAGCTCGTCTGCTTTACAATTGCCGTAAATATCCCTATGACCGGGAACCCAGATTAGAGAAATATTGAAC